CGACACGAAAACCACAAGAACTGGAAATCGAGTGCAAAGAAGCCCAAGGCCATGCATTTCCGAGACTTGTGTCGTCCAAGGGGTTTCGGAAGTTATAGGCGATTTGGTACGGGACGAACGGGTGGGATTAGAAACAGACCGGAAACGTTTGGTGAAAACGTAGATAGTGGTAAATGGATACGGAAATGTAAAAAAAAACAAGCTACCTGAGAAAGAAGGAGAGAATCGAATGTTTTAGTCCGTCACCATAACAGACCGGAGCCCAACTGGGCAAAGAGGTAGGCGAAGACGACACTGGTTCTGAAATGAGGACATGTCATCGGGGCATGCCAGTCCGGTAGATGTGTTTGAATCAGAAAGTCTTGAACATTCGTTGAGCAACGCGTCATGAAAACAAGTGCTGCTTTCATTCAATACAACGATTGGTAAACTTATTTCCCATTGAAATCAAGCGAGTGGTCCCAGCACAAGGTGAGAGCCAAGAGATTTGGTCATTAACCGAAACGAAGGAACATAAGAAGGCAGATGTTTAGAAGAACAGATGGGAAATCAGGAAAAGGAGTCCCGCACAGTCCGAGAGTGATCCTCGAGAAAAACGACCTGACAACCGGTAGGTGTTAAGGGCCAGTTCAATAGATTTACACATGTGGTCCTGACCTGGGCATACTTGGTCGCATGGGATAGCAAGAAGCATGGAGGATGCGGCGGTGGGGGGGGGAGAAGTTGGTTCGTTCTGTTTGTATCTGGGCTATCTAGATGAAAAAGCAAGCAAGTTGACTGAAACAACAACAACAACAACAACAACAGAGCAAAAAGAACAAAACAAGAAGTTCGAGATCATGTGGCTAAAAAAGGAAACAAAACAATGGAAAACAGTTACGGCGACCATGGTCAGTGTGATGATGAGTCTTCATCGAAATTGTTCGATCGTCACGCATCACGTGATTCAACAAGTAATTTACGGGCGTAAATGAGTTGCCTGTGTTTGGTAAATGTAGAAGAAGGGTAGTGGATTGGTTGGATGAGCAGAAACAGGAACCGAAAGGGCCGCGTACGGGACTAAAAAGAATGACACCAGGATTCAGCTGGAACGAGTCATTGTCACTGACAATTCCGACCGTGACAAAGCGATTTTTGGTGGGAATTGTTGAGACTCAGTGCCTGAGATAGGATATCGTGTAA